TGGGTTTGAAGGGCTGACCTTGTGGTTAACAGCCTCACACTTCCAGGACGGCCCCACGCTGTCAGCTCCAGGGTACTAGGTGCCTGGGGAACCCTGTCCCCCTCTGTGTGTGCTAGGAAACATAAAAAAATACTTCAAGTTGATTTAAAACAAAACCAAGGAGTTCTATCCACAGCAGAGAGACACTTATCAGTGCTGCCAGTGTGGAAAAGTACCCCGGAGCTGCTCACATCCAAGGCTTGTACCAGGCCGAGCAGAAGGCGGGTGGGGGACCATAACAGGGCTTGGGAGGGCACAGAGCTCAAGAGAAATTCAAGCTTCATGAGGCTCCAAAACCAGGTCAGAAAACGTTTTTTCCACCCCTGAATGGAAGCACAGAGGGCCTTTTCTGAGAAGCAGCCCGTCACAGCGGCTGCGTGTTGGACGCTTGTTCTTACGGCAGCCAAACACCGCGCTCCTCAGCATCTCCCATTCCAACTGCAGTGCCGCACACAATCCCACCCTGGCATCCGCAGGAGAAGGGAGTCTTGGCCTCCCATGGACTTGGCCAGCATCCCAGTCAGAAGCCCTGGTCCTGCTCTTCCTTAGTGGGCACGTCTCGCGGCCCCCAGCAGGTCTCCTGTTTCTGCTGCCAACATCCTGGTGTGGCAGCTTCTCTAGCAGGTTCTCAGCACAGGCACCCCTGGTCCAAAGGGTGCATTTCTCTTCCATCACATCTCTTGGTGGGAGTGAGGCTGTCCTCTGGTACAGCTCAGGTTAACCTAGTGGGGGAGGCAGAACTGACCGACCCCTTTGTTAGATCCATGGATGGCCCCACCCCTGTTTGTTGGCACCATGGAACTTTGACTCCCCTACGTAGGACATGTTATCAGGAGGGATCAGTCCTGGAGCAGGACCCCCTGCTTGGTAAAGTGGAGGGTCAGCAAAACAGAGGCAGGCCCTCAACAGGGGTGTATTGATGCCATGGCTGCGGCAGAGCTGCCCACAGGGACAGTGGCTGGTGTGCTCCTGACCTGGGCAGGGCCAGCTGAGCTGCAGCATGGGGCTGCTCTGGGGGGCACACGTCCTCCCAGCTCCAGGCTGGCACAAGGGGTCTTCTCGACACTCCAACCATGGCCACTTCTTGTCCTACCCTGGTCCCAGGACTGGTTGGACAGGCCATGGGATGGACAGAGGGGGAAGGAAGGAGGGAAAAGGAGGGAGCAGAGGCTGGGGCACAAGCTTCTGAGGTCTCGTGAGGGAGGGGGCGGTCGGAGTGTTCTGGGCCCCACCCGCACGGTCCTGGACCTCTGCACTGGGATGATGGGCAGGGAGCAGCCCTCACACACACTGGGGGTGCAGGCAGGGGGCAGATGTATCCCTGCAGCCAGATACAGGGGAGGGACAGAGGGGCTGCCGGGATCTGGGCTCTGTCCTGGGCCACTTCCAGCCTCTCTGCTGAGGGTGGGGGTGGGCAGTGGCTACCCTTTGGACCCCTGGGGGCTCTGTACACAGGCCAGCATGCTGGGCAGAGGATAGGAGGTGGCAGCAGCTCCTCCTGTTTCCTTTCTGCCCCACAGCACATCCACCCCAGGCCCCGCGTGCCCAGCGGACAAGGGCTGCCCATCTTCCCCGCACTCTTTGGAGGAAGGGAGGGTCTGGGTTGTGGGGTGGGTGGGGACAGCTGCCCGCTGACCTCCCCCTGTCTCTGCAGCCACGGCGCCATGAACACGTCCTGTAACAGTACCCTGCAGGCCTGGCTGACCTTGGAGAACCCCGTGGCCAAGGCCTACACAGGCTCGCTGCTGGTGCTGGGCCTGCTGCTGAACGGCCTGGCGCTCTGGGTGCTGTGCTGCCGCCTCCCGCAGTGGACGGAGACGCGAGTCTACATGACCAACCTGGCAGCCGCCGACCTGTGTCTGCTCTGCTCCTTGCCCTTCATGCTCTACTCCTTGAAGGGACAGGAGGACACGCTGCTCTGCCAGCTCTCCCAGGCCATCTACCTGGTCAACAGGTACATGAGCATTAGCCTGGTCACCGCCATCGCCGTGGACCGCTACCTGGCCGTGCGGCACGCCCTGCGAGCCCGCGGGCTGCGCTCGCCCCGCCAGGCTGCGGCCGTGTGCGCGGTGCTCTGGGCTCTGGTGACCAGCTCCCTGGTGCTGCGCTGGGTGCTGGGCATGCAGGACGGCGGCTTCTGCTTCTCCAGCTCCTCCAAGCGGCCCAACAACACCATGCTCTTCTCCCTCCTGGGCTTCTACCTGCCGCTGGCCCTGCTGGTCTACTGCTCCCTGCAGGTGCTGCTCAGCCTGGCCCGGAGGCCTGCTGCCGACCCCGCGCAGGCCGAGGCCACCCGCAAGGCAAGCCGCGTGGTCTGGGCCAACCTGGTGGTGTTCGTGGTCTGCTTCCTGCCGCTGCACTTGGTGCTGACCGTCTCCTTCAGCATGGTGCCACACAGCTGCGCCTGGCGCCTGAGGTTCCGCTGCCTGATCTACCTCACCTCCCGGCTCTCAGACGCCAACTGCTGCCTGGATGCCATCTGCTACTACTACATGGCCAAGGAATTCCAGGAGGTCTGCAAGGCCGGCCTCACTGCCAAGGCCCACAAGAGCCAGGACTCCCTGTGCGTGACCCTCACCTAGAGCACGGGGATTGGCGCACAAGGTTGCGGGGAGAAGGACAGAGGGGGCTGGGGGGCTGAGGCCTGAGTCAGGGTGGGCACTCTGGCACAGAGAGAGCACCTGCCCCCCTTGGAAGCTGCTGAGAAGAGGCGCTGAGACTCTGAGGGGGAGCGAGGGGGCCAGGACCTGTGGGGAACCAAGGTCTAGCTCCCAGAGGCCTCTAGGGCTCCTGTTTGGACCTCCCAATGCCCACTCCCTGCCCCACCCCCTACCCGTGGGACAGGTAGGGTCTACAGCTCCCAGCCCACCACACCCCAGTGGGCATGTTCAAGTGTGCAGGGGTGAGGAGCAAGTGGGGTGGGGGCCGGCCTGTGCATGGGGGTCAGTAGGGTGAGCCTCGCCCCACTGTCCAACACACCCCACTGCCCACCCCTCCCCTGACAGCTGCCCAGGGAATTCTGGGATTGGACGAGCCAAGGGACCAATCAGAAGATCTTGGTCTGTTAGGGGCTGGAATGCCTGCCCAAAGAGGTTGGGGGCGGGGGCGGGCCTGGTCCAGCCCTCCCTTCCACACCTCTGCATCCAGGGCCTCTGGGGTTACCCCCCCCACCCATGCTTAGTCTCCTGCACACCTGATACTCCAGGGATACCCTCCCTCCCCCACCTTCCCATCATCCCTCCAGGGCTACCCCAGACCCATTCCCCACCTTGGAGAACACACAGCTCCCAGGCCTCTGTCCAGCCCCTTGGTAGCCTGGGAGGCCCTTGATGGCCATCATAGTGTCCATCCCTCCTCCCGTCCACACCTTCATTGCAATCCTAGTCCATATCTGCCAGCCCCCTGCACCAGACCAATGTCCCCTGCCCACCGAGCCCCCTAGCCTCCACCCTGACCTGCTGGCGCCATGAGCAGTACCGGGGTGGTGGGGCCACTCTCTCTGTCCAGGAAGATCTAGGTGCTTCCTCCCCGAGGTGTCCAGGGAGGGGGCAGTAGCTGAGGCATGAGTGGCCACCGGGTCTCAGATGGTGACTGGCCTCCTCCCTCCTTCTGCCCCCACCCCCGCCTGAGCTCCCAGCAGCCCCCTTGGGAATTCCTAGGGGGCAGACAGGGCTGGGTGGCTGCAGAGGACAGATCCATGTCAAGGTAGCTGAGGGGCAGCCAGGTGAGCAGCTTTGGACCAGAAGCTGGGCCTGGTGCTCTGCTGCCTCCGGGTCAGAGCCAAACTGTGTTCCGGGGGCCTTCTCAGGCCGGTTTCTCAGGAGGGGGTTCGCAGGCCTCTGAGCGGGCCCCAATCTCCAGCCTCTCAGTGATCAGCCCCCCAGGGACCACAGTGTGAGTCCAGGAGGGGTGGTTCAAGCGCCATGTCCAATGCCATTGCTTCAGCCTCCAGCGGAGGCCTCACCAGGACTGGGCACAGAGTGGCGTTTGTCCTGTCCGAGATCTCCAGCCCTTTGGGCGCTAGTCCCCTCCTCCTGTCACTGCCCTCCACCCTCTGGCCGCTCCCTCCCTCCTGAAGGACAGACAGGACCCCGTGGGTCAGCCAGACCTCTGCTCGTCTTGCTTATTTCCTGCCCTCCCTTTAAATTATTGTAGACACAGTGTACTGAGGTGACAGCCACAGAGCCTTCAACTAGCATTTTCGACGGAGGCAGTCAGCTCGTCCGCAGGGCGCTGTGCGGCCACCTTCCAGCGCTTTCCTCTCACCCCCCCTCCCCCCGTTCCAGCCGGCCAAGCGGCCAGGAGAACACAGCAGTCTGTCTCGGAGGACATGCAGCCAGACGCACTTGAGAACCAGCACAGCGAGACCTCGTCTCATGCACTTGGACGTGTGGTCAGGAGAGACCAGTCCCTGGGGAAGGACCTGTGCCTGGCCACGTGGAGGGGCAGCGAGGGAGAGGGAGGCCCCAAGGGCACGAGGGACACACGGCAGCCACGACGGCTCCGTCCCAGAAGACTCGTGAGGGTGGCGCTGCTGTTGGGCCTCCTGTTGGGCCTTGGGTCACGTGGGGCAGAACCCCCCTGGTGACGCCCACTAACAACAGCAGCCAAAAGTCACACTCCCTCTCCCTCCCCTCTCAGCCGCCAACCTGCCCGGGCACTTAGCCGTCCTGGGTGCCTTCTATAAACAGAATCGATCGTAGAACACGCGGCCTTTGCGTCCGGTTTTCTCACGTGCCTGGTGAAGCTTTTCTAGAATTCCAGTCTCAGAAAAACGCCCGGCGCCCGGCCTCTCCGACCGGCTTGCTGTGAGTGGACATGACTTAACGGCAGCGAGGTGTTTTTTGGGGGGTGGTGATCATGTTTCCAAGGTCCGTCCATGTGGTGGTGTGAACACAAACCTCGTTTTCTCCGTGGCCACATAGCAGTCCACACAGACAGCCCGCTGTAGTGTGTCGGTTGCACGTTGGCCGGAGAGCCCCAAGTTGAGCAGTTCACGCCCACTGGCAGTTCACACGGCTCTGAGAGAGAAAGATGGAGCAGGCCTGCTCTGTCCTCTGGGGCCCGTAGGAGGTGTAGAGCAGACTTAGAGTCTGAGCTTCCGTCTGACGAAGGAGCCCCGGGGCCCGGTGGTTACAAGTTAGGCTGATCGCCCAAGGTCAGCACTTGGAAGTCACTGGCAGCGCCGAGGGAGAAAGACGAGGCTTTCTGCTCCCGTAAAGAACAGCAGTCTCAGACACCCACAGGGCAGTTCTGCCCTGTCCTGTGGGGTCTCCGTGAGCTGACATTGGCTGGACGGCAGGAGTTTGGCTTGGTTTGGAAGAGGACTGATGAACGCTCTGGCTAGTGAAAACCCCAAACCCATTTTGAGTCACCTGGTGGGTACGGAATCCCACTCTGACCATTCCTGGCAAAATGCGTGACCAAGTGGGTTATCGCCTCTCTCCTAACCAGCCCAGGGAGGAGCAGTCTCTTCAGGGGCTTGCCTGGGTGCGTCCTTGATGGAGCCGGGTCCAGGAGCCCCACAGTCAGGAGCCTAGATTGGCGGAGCAGGGGGCGGGCAGGGGGGCTCTGGACCTGTCTTGTGAGCGCTGCCTGCCTGGCTTGGTGTCGTGTCCGCTCATGGTCCCAGTCTGGTTCTGCAGCTGTGATGTATCGATCTGCCGCCAATCACGCTTCCATGCAGTCTCCCTTGTCCTCCCACGTTCTACTTAAGTCCCCGGCTCTCTGTCCACCCCTGGACGTCATTACAGCCTTAGTCTCCCTGGTGCGGGGGTTGGGCCCTCCTGTTTCAGACCGCAGCAGTGTTCTCCACGCAGCCGACATGAGGGCTGGGCTCGCTGTGTCTGTTCCCTAAGACAGTTGGAACCAACTTGATGGCGCTGGGTTGGGTTGGGTTTGGGTTACCCCCCCCTTCCCTGCCTCTCGGCGAATGCTGTTAGGTGCCACGTCATCGAACCCGACTCACGGAGACCCCACCCGGTTAGCAGCGGCCTCACGACTGTAGTGCTTGACCCGTCTTGGCGGCCACTGGGCCTGTCTATCCATCTAGCCGAGGGCCTTTCTCATTTTCACTGCCCCCAGCTTTACTGAGCAGGACGTCCTTCTCCAGGGACTGGTCTCTGCTGATCACACGTCCAAAGTAGGAGGGACAGAGTCTCGCCATCTCACGTCTAAGGGACATCTGGCCGACTTCTTCCGGAACAGATTGTGTGACTTCAGTACCCATCACCGAGGCACCAGGATTCGGTTGGGATGCACAGCAGCACGCGAGCTGTCTGGGTCCCGGACTTCAAGTCACCTGGGCGTGCAGTGGGGATAGGGGCTGGTTGCTGGGTCACCTGGTGGATTCTAGAATTAACATTTTAAGGAACCAGCCCGTTTTTTTCCCGAGGCGAGGAGCCAGTTCATCACACACACACACACACACACACACACACACACACACACACACCCTAGAGGGCTCCTTTCTGCGGTCGCCCCACTCCTTCTTGCTAAAAGCTTTTGTACAAAGCTCTCCTGTGGTTTGAATCCTGGTTTGCTTCCTGACTAATGCTGTTGACAGTGCTCTCTGACCATTTGCCATTCTTCTTGGGTGGTATGTTTGTGTCTCCCCGCCCCCGCCCAGAAGCCCTCTGCCAGTGCTTCAGAGGGCCACGTGGGTTGCACTGTGGAGTCACAAGAGTCCCTTGTGCGTTTTAATGCGAACGCTGGACGGTCAGCTGCAGACAGTCTGCAGGCTGTCCACCTGAGGACGGAACACACCCAAGCATTTTACATCTGCATGACGTCCAGTAAAATGGCTTTCCCTTCAGCTGCCCGTGTTTGGGGTGCTGTGTCTTTGAGAAATGTCAAAATCCCGACAGACACCATATTGGCTCCTCTGGGCAACTGGCAGGTCAGTGTAAGCCCCTGATTCAGAACCAGCCCCTGATGGGTCTCTCTCCAGAGGACCAAGGCGGACGGACAGCCTTCTCCCACAGGACTTTACCAACGGCTCTTACGGAACGTTAACTGACGGACGCTCAGCAAGCCCGATCTATGCTCACTTTGGAGAGGGGTCTTTATACACCATGAGGCGCCCAAGCCTGGAACAAATGGGGCAAAAGTAGAGCAGGGGTCACAGCTCCTCAGAAAGCATTTTAGCCCCCAGCTCACAACCCCCCGCCCCGGCCCCCCC